CTTGTCACTCTGATCTCTCTCTCTCTCTCTCTCTCTCTCTCTCTCTCTCTCTCTCTCACATATGCAATTCATTCACAACATTGTCTTTATTAACAGCTGCGTTATTTTCCTCCTCTGATGGTGAAATCTAATTCAACGTCCATTATGATTCCAGAGTTGGATTTTGAGATGCCCCCAGAAGCTCAACGTGGAAAACTTTCAACGGTGGAAGGGGTACTTCTACGAGCTGCAGAGGAGCTGCAAGCTTTGCAAGAGGAGCGAATGAAGGTTGATCCTGAGACAGCAAAAACTTTCGACCGGTTTTTTATTAAATTGAAATCCTGTGCAAAAGGAAATGTGTCGTTTACCTTCATACTTGATGATCTTGCAGGCAATAACTTCATTGAGAACCTGTTTGCTCCCTCCTCTGATCCAGCACTGACTGTGAAGTTTTATGATCGAACTCCCGAACAACAAGTGTCTCTAGGGTTTCTTGCTGAGTCGACAGCTGGTGAAGAAGAGTCAGAGCATGGTGGTGGTGGTGAAGTTAGAATAGAGCGAACTGAGAAAACGAAGTACATACCTGCTGAAACAAGAAGAGAGTCTCATGAGCAGAGGGTGGTCATCATGCAATTGCTCAAGGTACCAGTGAGGAAATTGTTGTCGCCTCGTTGAAATACTCTACACCTGAAGAGGTTGTGGAGCATGTGGTCTAGCGCCATTGAAGCAATGGTTTAAGTGCTTTAGGGTTTAGGGTTTTGAAATGGACCAACAGAGTCGAGCAAACATTTTTAAACCTGCTCTCCCAAATGACACCATGCCGATCTCTCATCTTTATTCCATAACTAGACCACTCTCTAGGAAGAGAGCAAACAAGACTTTATCTCACTGAAAGGAGAAGCAACCCAAAATCTCTATGGGAACCGCTTCTTGTTGTGCGCAGAAGCTCTAAACCCAATGGGTAATATTTGACAAATAAAGTATGAGAAATAGATCATGAAATACACACTACAAGAACACAAATATTTACGGGGTTCACCCCAAAGGGTTACATCCACAGGCACGGCAAACAAAAATCCACGATACTAATAAAAGTTATATCAAAGATTTTGGAATAAACCCGATAAAAACACAATCGAGCAAACTCTTTTAAATCTGCTCTCCCAAACAGCACCATGCCGATCTCTCATCTTTGTTCCATGAGTAGACCACTCTCTAGGAAGAGAATAACTTTGAGAGCAAACAAGACTTTATCTCACTGAAAGGAGAAACAACTCAAAATCTCTATAGGAACCGTTTCTCTACAGGAAATCAACCTCTCACTCTGTAGGAGTCGAAGGCACCATCAATGTTTCTCTTCATAAGAAGCCCTCTTCTCTAAGAGGAAATTGCATCTTATTCACTAGAGGCTCTATTTCCCCCTCTCTTTAGAGGAACCACCATTCTTATATGGTGACTTAAATAGGGCACACAAATTCCATGCACTTTCATCCCATATATATGAATGGTAAATACCAAATCATGAACCTTGCTCTAATATCATGTTAGAAATCGTGGGAGAATACATGCATAAACATTGAATGAATAATGGAGAATGGAGAGAAATAGAAAAGCTCTACCGCCGCTTTTCTAAGCTTGTTGTTCAAGCAATATGTGCTTATTGTTCAAGCAATTTGAAAATCACTTCTCGTTTTTGACAACTTAATATTGTTCAAACTCCAGCTGCTTTGTATCAAAGCATCTTGAGTTTGAGAGGGAGTGCTAGGATATGAATATCTCGATTTCATATTGATATCCATCATTATGGATATATGTGTATATATCTCTTAATAAGATTAAGTATCTAGAAGATAAGAAGAGACCAAGTCAAAGTTATTTGGTCATCAAGTTAGTTTAGTGATAAAGCCTCCTAATATTTACCTCTATCTCTAAGAATCATATCATATTTATCTCATGTAATTGTGTGATTGTCCTCTATATATAGAAGTACTTATTAATGTAAATATTCATTCAAAATAGTGAAGATGTAGCCCGTTGGGCTTTGGATCCGTGGACATAAAGGCTTCAGCCTGAACCACATAACTATTGTGTTTTCTCTTTTTCTCTCTCTATTCTCCATTCTCCATTCAATGTCAGTGCATATATGCTCACATGATTTTTAACAAAGAAAATGAAGCATATACCTGCTGGAACAAGAAGAGAGTTTCATGGTTCTATTGGAGCAGAGGGTGGTCATCGTGCAATTGCTTAGAGTAACAGTGAGGAAATTGTTGCCGCCTTGCTCAAATACTCTGCACCTGAAGAGGTCATTACTTTTCCATCAACATGTAGAGCATGGGGTCTAACGCCATTAAAGCAATGGTTTAGGCGCTTGAGGGTTTAGGGTTTTGAAAAATCCTCAAAGTAAGTGCAAGCGAAGATGAAGTAGAGCTCTGAAAACCGTACCAAAAAAAAAAAAATTGCAATGAAGGATTGAGGGTGGAGAGAGAATGAGTGATGTGTTTAAAGAGAGAGTAAAATGTTTTTTATATAGTGTAATGAGTAAAAGGTTTTTTATTTTTTATGTTATTTTTTGTTAATAAATTAAAAAGCCTACAAGTTTGTAGGATTTACATTCTTCACATTGCAAAGCTAAGTACTTAGGCCTTGAAACGAGATCGAGGCCCAAAATTCACATTGTTACCTGTTGCGTGATTGCCTCCTACTAGAATCGCAGTAGAGAGAGAGAGTTAGAGCCCCTCAGAGATCATCGTATAGAGATAGTTGTTGCGATCTGCTCAGGATAAGTCATGCATTAGCCATTAGCCATTTGGTGTAATTTGAGGAGCACCATTGCGGAAGCTCTCGATCCTTGTGGAATCAAGTTGCTTGGATCTATGCTTGCTAAAGATGGCGATGTTTCACTGGTTTTTGGATTTCCTTTTGATTTCTATTGGCATTTCCAAGTGTATCATGTTCGAAGATTGAATCTTTCGATCCTGGTTGATGATCAGGTTTTTTGATACTTGATCATTCTTGATGATTGAGTTTCTCGTTACTCAATCTTATTGAATGATGGAGTTTTTCGTTACTCCATCTGCATGATGATCAGGTTTACACGATCACGTTTGCTCCGAATGCCTATGTTTAATGATTGAGTTTATGTTACTCAATCATGTTGGATGATGGAGTTTTTCATTGTTCTATCTTGTGAGATGCTCAAATTTCTTTCCGTTATTCGATCATGTCTATTGATCGAGTTTTTTGTTACTCGATCCTGAAAATTCTGAAGGCTTGCTTGTCTGTTGTTAATGGAGTTTTCGTTACTCGATTCCGGATGTTCCTGAGGACGTCTGTTCCTGTGAGGCTGCTCTTGAGACCGTCTACTTCTGAGATCTCTAGTGAGGCCATGTGTTCCTGAGATCTGCCGCTTCTTGTGCTCGTCGTTCAAGCAACTTATGCTTGTTGTTCAAGCAATCTGTGCTTGTTGTTCGAGCAATCTGAATATCACTACTCGTTTTTGACAACTTGTTCAAGCAATCTAAAACTTAGAACTCATTTTTGGCAACTTGGTATTGTTCAAACTCCAACTGCTTTATGACAACGCATCTTGAGTTTGATGGGGAGTGTTAGGATATGGATATCTCAGGTTCCTATTGATATATATCATAATGGATGTATGGGTATATATCTCTTGATAAGATTAGGTATATATAAAATAAGAAGAGACCAAGTTAAAGTTACTTGGTCATTAAGTTAGTTTGGTGATAAGGCCTCCTACTATTTACCTCTATCACCAAGAATCATACCATATTTGTCTCGTGTAATTGTGTGATTGTCATCTATATGTAGAGTTACTTATTGATGTAAACATTCATTCAAAATAGTGAAGATGTAGCCCGTTGGGCTTTGGATCCGTGGATGTAAGGCTTCGACCTGAACCACGTAAATGTTCTGTTTCTCTTCTTCTCTCTCAACTGCATCATATGCCCAAGCATCTTTGTCATTGCTCATCATGTACCAGGGCAAAACAAGCATTGTCTTCATCCCTTGTAAACATCCTTTAACATGACCCTTTTCAATCTTTTTGTTCCTAAGTTTTCCATCATCAGTGAGCAAACAAAAAAATTCTATAGATTTTGCCTGATTCGTATACATTCATCAGTTGATCAATATTCTGATAGGGTGTGTGTTATCTCCCTTCAGAATACGTGTGTGGAGAGAGAGATAAGAAAAAAAGAGAGAGGGAAATGGAGTGATTAAGGGTTGCAATGGACCTAGACCCGTCGGTATACTCAACACAGGTCTAGGTATGGGTCCAATATTTGGATCCGACGGGTCGGGTTTGGGTCCAAGAACGCTATTCGGGTCCTGTTGGACTCAACCCATACCCGTAAATTGTTAGAGATAAATACTTCAAGCTCTATTCATTTGGGTGTATTAAGGTATATAATAAGAACTTGTAGTCATCTTTAGTTATTAAACGACAAATCGGACTGCTTGATATCTAATGGTAAGTGATTGTGATCTTGTTGCCAATAATATGGGTATATGATAATAATAATAAAAGACAAACAAAAAAAGTGCTCATAGTGAGAGTGGCAATGGACCCGACCAGACCCGATGGATACAACTATGGGTCCAACTTTTGGACCTGATGGATATGGGTACGAGTCCAACTTTTGGACGCAACTGATCGAATAGAGTGGCAATGGACCCAACTAGACCCGATGGATACAGGTATGGGTCCAACTTTTGGACTCGACGGATCGGGTCTGGGTCCAAAACCTGGACCTAGTGTTAAATCGGTTACTCGAATCAAGCAATCCGAATCGGGTATCGACTGGACCGTTAAAACAAAAATTGTGTTTTTTCACCGTGTTGCGAGGGTACTCCGGAATATTTTTTGGAAATAATGGGCAGCAACCCACCTTTTAAAAGAATGATGGCACCATAACACGAACCCACCATTACACGCAACCCACAGACTGCTTAACGTATCATCCATAATGCTCATGGGGCTTTTTTTATATGTTCAGCATTCTTCCATGTGGAACAAAGTCCCATTTAATACCATCATCGAAAATTCATGGTATTGCCCTTTCTCTCCCTTGCACTGCCCAATTGGCGTCTCCCTTTGGCTCCCTCACACCCGCTATTAGCGTTCTCTCTTTCTTTCCCTCTAATAAAAATTTTTAGTTATCATATTTACTATCTACTGTATTAATATATCCTGTTTTTTATTAAGACGGATCACTTGGATATTAAAAGCAATACATTAACATATCATTATACATTAATAACACAAATATTGTAAGTTAGAATTAATTATCTATACGTTGATTAAGCCATTATGTTTTCTTAAAAATTCCTTATCTCAATGATAATAAATTAAAAATTATACATTAATATCCTTGTCATTGGTCATCTACATTTGGTTTTCTTATTTCAATGACAAAATTTATTATAAAATTATAATTAATAAGTATACATTGATAACCAAAGCTTGTATTTTATTTTATTAATTTATTAGCATTATAAATTATGTAATGCATTATTTTTGTAGTTGTAAATAAAATTTATTAAATTAGTTGATATTATAAGACATTTTAGATTTGTTCTTATTTGTATAGTAAAATAATTATAAAATAGGAAAATTATATATATATATATAATAGAAAAATCTTCCCAATGCC